TGTGCATGGGCCCTAAAGTGTAATTCCTTGAAAAAGACAGTGTTAAAGTGATATAAAAGGTTACATAAAAAACACAAAACAAACAAACAAATATGTCATACTTACATGCTCTGTGAAATGCTTTTCCTCCCACCTACTGAGTGCCCCCAAAGCAAGCTTCTTGCTCTGGGGTCACTCATGCATGCTCACTTCCAATCCCTGCTATGTGTGTCCATAAGACACACAGAACAGGGCTTGGCCCTGCCCCCCTCCCACCTAACCAGCTGTGATTGATAGCAGTGGGAGCCAATGCCTCCCACTGCTGTGTCTCAACCAATGGTAAGGGAGATACCCAAAAGAGAATTGAGGCTCCCGTGCACAGCGCTTGACTTGAAATCAGGCTCAGGTAAGTATTGAGGGGGGGGGGGAGGGGTTGTGGGGGGAGCTGCATACTGAAGTTTCTTTACCTTCACGCATAAAAAACCTTCAGCCTTTAAAACCACTTTAATTTCCAGATGTTATCTATGACCTATTTACTAAAGGTTGGAGATTGGGGATCTTATTAGTTATGGGCTACCAACTTCCATTGGTCGAAGCGAATTCCAGCCATAATGGTTTTTGGGTTTTTTGGGGGGATAGAGAATTTTTTTTTCTAACAAGGTGCTTATGCGCTTAATAAATGTGTGACTTATTTAAAAATATGTATAAGTGATATTCAAATAAACCTATTGCTGCAGTCCTCCACTTGTGTAAATTAACACAATAAAATAATAATATAAAAAACAACGAGGCCACGCATAATTAAAGTAAATAAAATAAATATATACATGTTAAAGTCCCAAATATATATAAACCCAGTGCTGGTGCTGGAGCTCAATGTATTATCTTCAAAAAAGTGTTCCACTGTGCTTGACAAAAGTGCCCCACATGGACTGACACTCACCACTAATCAATGACCATCTATCTCTAGAATGGTCATACATGCTTTTTCAGGGTTCCCAGAATGCCGGTAGTCTCCAGCACTGGATTTATATACTTGTGGGACTTTAATGTGTATGTTTATTTATTTTATTTACTTAGATTTTTTTAATAATGTGCGGGTCTCGTTGTTTTTTATATTATTTTTTCTAACCTGACCTGTAACTGGGAATCAATGTCACAAAGAGGGGAAATGATGGTAACATCTCTGCAATGGAGCCTCAGAAAGCATTAAAAACCCAACAGACGTTCTAATTTTTTTTGCAAAAGCGATTTTTGCTTCAATGCTTAACAAATTTTTTGAACCAGTGGTCAGTCTACTGGTGTTTACATATGTATGTTGTAAGAAAAAAATAAAGTGTCTAAGGGTGGTCAGAGGACAATTTGCTAAAGTAGACATTTAAAAAATGTACCCCCTTCATCTCTTTTATAGGTGTTTCCATTTTTTTTGTTTGTTCTTTTTACTCCTGCCTCCCCCCTCCTCTCTTCTCGCCTAAGTAAGAATGACATGCCCCTATTTCTATAGCCTCTCGGAATATCCCCCATCACATATAATAGAAGAGCATACAACAGCTAGAAGATGGCCTTGGCCGCACCTTCGGGCTAAAAGGCTCAAAAGTTACAGCCGGCTCCTGATGATGTAGGAAGAGAAGAAGTTGGAGCTGGACCTGATGCAAGTGATGGATCACAGCAGGACAATCCTGGATTTGATGGGCATGTGAGTGGGTGAATTGAAGATAGCCCTGCAAAACAAACACGGGGGGGGAATTGTTGAATTTCCTCTATAACTTATAATGCAGCTAAGTAGGTTTACCATTATGATGCAGGCAATATAAGACATTTGGCTTTCAACAACATTTATTAAAGTAAGGCTATAATGCCTGTTAAAAAAAAAAATAACCTAATGAATGTAATAATATCTGAGCTTACATTATTCATTACCACAATCATTTATTTATACGTATTAACATACTCAGCAGAGCAGTAACCTGGGAGTTATTAAGAATGACTTACTGTACAGCCAACACAAACACATGTTTCACCGGAAAATTTTACAACTCCCGGCACTGAGATGCCTCATCTTTTATTTTTATGTGCATTGTGAAAATAATGCATACCGAGGTAAACACCGGCTGGATTTATAAAAGAGCTGAAATACAGAATTAGCTCAAAACCAAATAATTTGTAAATGTTTCTACTCAGCTTCACTGTTTATGTTGGAGATAAACTGGGTGGAAGCTTAAAATTAGTATTATATAGGCAGGATTGTTCCACTGCTTTATGCCACTTTAGGCACTAAAATGCTGGCTTCCCTCTGCAGTTCTAAGCTCTATGCTGATATAAAGCTCAACCCAATCATGATTGGTGTCAGGGAGGTCATCCCAGTATACAGAATTGTACATCTGTCTGAATATCCATGCACAGGCTTGCTCGTAGTGTGTGTACGTGTGCCTGTTGATAATGCTGGCACGAAACAGGCTTTTTAAACTGGTCAGGTGCACATAGCCAGTGCTGTCTTGTCTACAGCATTATTTGTGAAATTTTGTGTCTGACTACCCATTACTGGCCTGGCTTACCTTGACCTTCTCCTGATATCTGTTTGGCTTGCACCTGGGCTACGGATCTTCCTGCTCCTTCTGTTCTTGACCTGCTTTTTACATAGTTACATAGTGAGGTTGAAAAAAGACACTAGTCCATCTAGTTCAACCAACAAGAAAAAGATACAAAAAAAAAACCCATATACACAATTCTGTACCCATAGTTGTTCCAGAGGAAGACAAAAAACAACAACCAAAAAACAGTTAGGAGTTCAGTAAGACCTCCTCAAAAAAGAGGTTTTAAAGGAGAACCAACAGCGGTGTAAATAAGATTAACAAAAACATAAAACATGATCCAATTCGCTCCAGGGAGGGGAAATAAATTCCTTCCTGATCCCCCAGGAGGCAGTTGGATATTCCCTGGTGTTATTACCTATAAATATTAATATCCTGTTACATTTTGTGCATTTAGGAATGCATCCAGGCCATTTTTAAAACAATCTACTGAGCTGCCTGAACCAGTTCTTGAGGTAGTCTATTCCAAGAAGTTAGTCCATTGCTGACTTTATCCTGAACCTCAACCTCGCTTCTGCTAAAGCTGCTTTAACCCTAAAAATACCAGCCTACCACACCGAAACTGTGTATTGCATGGGGTTGCAGGACAGTTGCAGCACAGCCCTATTCACTTTAATGGGTCATGATTGGTGGTGGTACCACCCGGTGAATGCAACATGCAGTTAGATGTTTTCTAACACTGTGAAGCAAAGCATCATGACCGAAGCATTTGTATGGTCCTGTGTGGCTGCATATCCTTGTTCAGGTGGAGGGGTCAGTGGTGGCAGTAAAACCGGGGCTCAACCACCTGGTGTGCATGAACCCCAAAGACCAACCAAAGACTTTCCTCAGTTTCTTCATGTACACTAACTATGGGCATTGTGCTTGCACAGTTACATTCATTTTGTAATGTACCATGCAAAAAGAACTTTTTAAGTTTTTTTTTATTCATGTTTATATGCTATTAGGGTCACACCAATAGAAGAGTAGAAAAAAATTGGTAGAGTTTTCAGATGTGTGGTGAGTGGGGGGGGGGGGGAAGGACATCGTTTTTCAGAGAATCTGTTCTGGATTCGTTTTGCACTGTAATAATTTATTAATTCTGCCATATTAAATAACTGTCCAAAAACATGCAAGAATAAAACTTAATCCAGTTAAAAAAAATGTTTCACATGGGGTGCAGGCAGTCCCATTCATGTCAACTGAGACACATCTGCTGCTCCCAATTTGACATCCATGTGGGTGTGTGCAAGTGCACGGGTCCCCAAACACAGACAGTGTGGGTTCGGGGACCCACATGTACCTGCACTCACACAGATGTCAAATTGGGAGCAATTGACATGAATGGGACATGAAGATGCATGAAACAATTGTGCATCCCCATGCGGGTAAACTCAGCCCTGACATATGCTTAAATGTACCCCATGTGAACGAGGCCTAATTATTTTTTTAAACTGGGTTAAATTATATTCTTGCATGTTTTTACACAGTTATTCAAAGCGGTAGTAAAAAAGAATAAAAAACTCTTCCTGCAAGGCAATGTTATAATGTGCTATATGGTAGACTTGCCTTTAAACAAAGGTCTCCAGCAGCCCGCTGTCACTGCTGAGGAGGCTTCCATCTTCACCTAGTCTTTCTTCCAGGTTTATGGGCTGTAGCCATTTGACTGGCCAGGCCTAGATGATATCTCTCCCGTGCATGCACGCAGGAGTCTCGGCCGAGGCACATAGTTCTGAAGGAACAGCATGGGAACAGCATGTGCCAGTGAAATCACTGGCTGCGGCTCACTAGAATATCTCCTAAACGGTGCACATTTAAGAGATATTCATTTTACCTACAGGTAAGCTTTAATATAAGAAAAAAAAGAGTTGGTTACCACTTTAATATGGCACAGTGGATAAATGATTACAGTGCAAAATAAATCCCCCCATACACACCACACATATGAACAAACTGCCAATGTTTATCTACTCTCAGCTATAGGTGTGATCCTAATAGCATATAACAATAAATAAAAGGAAAATAAAATGTCGCACTTTTGCAAGGTATATTACAGAACACATGTAACTGTGCAGTCACAATGCAAATAGTTATTGTATATGAAGAAACTGATATTTATTGAGGAACCATGCAATTAATTAAGCAATCTGGATGTCATTCAGCAATGTGTGCCGCACGGGGTGTCACCGGTATGTCATACACTGGCATAATGCATCAGATGTCATTTGTGAACATGAGAACTTTCTATTTTATCATTAGGGAAGGTCTGAATTCCTCTGAGCTGGAAACTTTTAAGGACCTGTCTTGATTCCTGGGTACAACCCTTTCTGGAATGGTTCCCTGTTCTTCCTCTAGATATATATATGCCACTGTAATGCCACACAGGTAAACAGCACACAGATCCTGAGAACAAAACATTCCTGTCTAGCTTATTTTTCTGCTTAAATCACAATGAGGAACGAATTCTGCTCCTTAGCGTTCGCCCGGGCAGTGTTTGCAGAATTTCTGGCCACTTTAATATTTGTCTTTTTGGGGATAGGTTCTGCCCTTAATTGGTCCTCGGCTCTGCCAACTGTTCTGCAGATCTCCATGGCCTTTGGTCTTGCAATTGGTACCTTAGTACAAGCGTTTGGACACGTCAGTGGGGCCCATATAAACCCAGCAGTCACTGTAGCTTTCTTATTGGGGTCCCATATTTCTATTTTACGAGCCCTTTTCTATATAATTGCACAGGTGGTAGGGGCAATTGCAGGAGCTGGCATCATACATGCAGTAGCGCCAGTGAATGTGCGCGGAAATCTGGCCATTAATGCGGTAAGTGCTTTATATCTGTCTATCTAGTTGACCTTTCTATCTCTTCATTTTTATCTATCTATCTATCTATCTATCTATCTCTATCTATCTACCCGTTTCACACTCTATTATTTATCTGTCTATCAATCTATCTGTCCTTCTCATACTCTGTTGTCTATCTATGTATTTATGTATCTATGTATCTATGTATCTATCTATCTATCTATCTATCTATCTATCTATCTATCTATCTATCTATCTATCTATCTATCTATATATCTATCTATGTATCTATCTATCTATCTATCTATCTATCTATCTATCTATGTTTCTATCTATCCTTCTCACACTCTATTGTTTGTCTATCTATCTATCTATCTATCTATCTATCTATCTATCTGTCTGTCTGTCTGTCTGTCTGTCTGTCTCTCTCTCTCTCTCTCTCTCTCTCTCTCTCTCTCTTCTTTCTCCATATCTATCTATCTATCCCTCCACATCTCTTATCACTTTATATCTGTCTACTTAGTTGACCCTTCTATCTCTTAATTTTTTTATCTATCTATCTATCTATCTATCTATCTATCTATCTATCTATCTATCTCTTATCTATCTTTAATTTTTATCTATCTATCTATCTATCTATCTATCTATCTATCTATCTGTCTATCTACCCTTTTCACACTCTTTTCACTTTCTCTCTCTCTCTTCTTCTCCAAATCTATCTATCCTTCCACATCTCTTATCTCTTTATATCTGTCTATCTAGTTGACCTTTCTATCTCTTCATTTTTATCTATCTATCTATCTATCTATCTATCTATCTATCTATCTATCTATCTAATCCCCCTCTATCTATATACTGACAGATCTCCATTAAATCAAGCCTATACTAAGAGAAATACTCAGAGTTGTTTAGCGACTCAGAAAGCGCCAAGTGTTCTGCATCAGCCAGGCATGTAGCATTTTCAGAAGGAGTGTTCAGGCATCACAGCCGATATATTTTCTCTGTAGAGGTTTCCTTTTGAATTTCAGTTGTGATGATATGAGTAAATTTACTGCTATAAAAACATTACAAAAGCTGGCTTATCTTGTATCAGTCCCCAGGCTCCTTATATGCTGCAACAACTTTATTTTTAACCAAAACACGTTCAGCATGCTTGCAAAATTTTTTGACTGTTGCTGCAAAGTGTTTTCTTTCTTCATTTTCTGACAAACCGTCTCATTAAGAGCAATGCTGAGATGTGACATGCTGCTTGTGAAGGTTTCATACGGTGCAGAGAGCCCTAATATTGTGCAATGTTTCCATAACCTATAGCAACCAATTAGATTTCAGTTTACTGTAGATACATCAGTAAGAAGATATATAATTGGTTGCTATGGTTTGCTGCTCATTGAACAATGCACAGTTATATGATTTACGGATAATTATTTTGCCTTCCTTAACATTTGTGCTATGCGTAGGTTTCACTGGTTTGCTCTGAATATGTCAGCTATATGTTCCATATCAATGGATTCCTATTCCTGCCTCATTGTCTTTTTATCTCAGCCTGATCTCTGTGATGTCTCACCTAGTGTCCTATTTTTACTGTAAGACAATCTGTTTACAATTATTCAAATTAGCGTTTGTTAGGTAACCCTGCAGACAGAGCCAACCTGATTAATTTCACTTGGCATTCTTTGATATCATCTAGATAAAACATGGAATGACAACATGGAAAATATTTGAATAATATATTTTTACTGAATTAAAGCAGAAATTATAATAAATTTCTAGCACTGACAATTCTGATCAATGGTGTAGTTGGAATAGTCTCTCTGTGCTGGAATGTGATATTACTGCGTTTCATAATGCGTATAACTAAATAACGTATTAGTTCAGTGTTCTGATAGGTATCATGCAATCTTAAAGGGACAGCATCAGAAATAAATCACCAGTAACTGAATTTATTTTTGTTTAGCATCTACAGGGGGTCACTTTCAATGGAAATGGTGAAAGGAAAGTGAAGGTGATAGCTATTTCCAACTGTCATTTTTCTACATCAGTTTAAAGAGGAAGTCTGACTTCACTTTGAATTATTGTGTTCTGTTCCCCATCCTACTATGTTCTGTCTAAGGCTAGCTGTGAGGTTGGACAGGGCACCCCTCTTACCTCCTCATCCATCCAACAATGCAGTGAGCAAGGAGACAGCTGTTTTGACAAACTGCCCTTTTCTCCATCTCCATGCACTTGCTGAGCATAAATGTCTCACCATGAATGTCTGGGTTGGGGCTTGTCAGCTAATATTCTCCAGGCAAGCAGGCAAGTGCTTGGAGAAGAACAAAAGTGCCATCTGTCAAAGCAGCTGACTCCTTGCTATTTGCGTTGTCCATGGAGGGAAGAGGGGTGCCTTTCTGATCTCATAGCTAGACTTAGACAGTACATAGGAAGATAAGACAAAGTACAACATGTATTTTGTCCCTTGGGTACAGAACACATTACTAAAAATGGAATTGAAACTTCAAAAACAAAAGGAAGAACCTAGTTTGCCATGGGAAACTCTTCCACTTTCTCTTACCTCAAGTTATAGCCCTGTATATTAAATGCTGCAAACTTTAGTTTCCTGGGAGGAGTTCTTTATTCTAATAACAACTGTATACAGGACATCAAAGTAAACCATTTCAGTCGTGCTGCCAGATCACGGGACAATATTAGTTACATAGTTAAGTTAAACAAAACAAGTCCATCTAGTTCAACCAATATAAAAAAAATTAATAAACAGAAAAACCTCCATATGCACAATTCTATACTCACAGTTGATCCAGAGAAAGGCAAGGGCGATCAGTTATTCCTGGATCAACAATCTCCTAGTGTTATTAGCTATAGATATTAATATCCAGTTATATTTTGTGCATTCAGGACTATATCAGTCTACTGAGCTGGTCAGAACTAGTATAATTACCAGTATAGTTAATATCATGTCATTGGAACCCCAGCTACTAAAACAACAAGACTGAAACAATCGATCAGGAAGGTTAGAAAACTTGTCCAAGTTACTGTTTTCCTTCCCATCAATAAGTCAGTGCTGATTTCTCTCACCTTTCCATTGCCTCTACTCCTCTAGGGTCTTTGGGCCACCTATAACATTTTCTTTTCTTCATATATTTGCCACTTAGTTCCCAGATCTACCCATCCTAGGATTTGTCAATAACATTAATGAGGGTTGGTTGTTTCTCTGGGATTACTGCACAGAAAGTTACCTGTCTTTAAGGAATTACTTTCCTTTCAACAATCATGGCTTTGTCATACACCTCTGAAATGCTCATACACCTTTATCTTTTTTTAATTTAATATGCCTGTTGGCTAAGATTTAATGTGCAAGATTTGAGATCTTAATTTGGCAATATCCTGAAAATGATTGTAGCAACTGATAATGGGAGGCCATGAAGGTTGCTGTTGGTGGTTAGAGTGTTTCATTGTATACAGCAAGCTATAGATGGGTCGAATCTCGGCCAGTTAGCGACAGGCCAAGATTCAATCCATGTATGGACAGGCTGGTTTTACTAAAGTTGATTAATTGATCGACTTTAGTACAACCAGCCTGTCAGATTTTTTTCATGACATTACTGTTGGCAGCTATAGCCACCAGCAGTAATCACAGTGTTTTGCTAGCAGGGAAGGCTCCTCCCTGGCAGAACACAATAGCCCCAAAGAAGGGATCCCCCCCTCAACACCAACTGTGTTGATAAGGGAATCAAGCAATTTTCAGTTTTCTTTCTGACATACATTTTTAACTAATTTTTCAGGAAAGAAAATCGAATCATCTATGGCTTGCCTAAGTAGTAATAGGAAATATCCAACATGCAAATGGAGTGGAGGTGGGTGTTCAGGGAAAGTAGCTCACATGAGGGTCCTATCAAGACCATCTATAAAGTGAACATTGATTATTCAGGGCAATGCAGCAGGCCTACTTTAGAGCAGAGAGGGTAAGGAACACATAATTACCCTATGAGTTGTCCTCAGTCTTCTTGTTCACCTGGCAGAGGTGGAGGGAATCCTGGTACTCCTGTGACACCTGGTACCAGGGCCAAGCTGGGGCAGAGGCAGGAGCACAGCCTTGGACACCATGCTGCTAAGGGTACAGCTTAGGAAGAAGTCTCTTTTACCTCTGCATCACCAAGCCATGCCCTGCAGTATGCATGACTGAGCTATCAAACCGTACAGTCCTGCAGATTACATTGGGAGAGTTCCAGTGATTACACAGGAAGAGCAGCTTTCTCCCTGTGTAATCTGCAGGACTGAGCTATCAGCTTGACAGAACATAGATAATAATTAGTAACATCTTGCTATAAGATAATTGCATTATGTTTCATTTATAGTTAAATACATCCGTGAAGTTTCTCATTTATCATGATAAAGATAGTCACATTCAGCTGGACTTGTTCTGTAATGTTGAAAATGTTTTGCAGCTTATCCAAGCCACTTGTTCAGTGCTGAATTCCAGGAAGATACCCCAGCATTTATATTCACCCTTTAAGCCCCCAGTCACATGAAAGCTGATTTTGAAATCGTGCGACTTGCAGTGAAGTCGCACGATTTCAAAATCAGTGACCTGCCAATTTCAGTTGCAATTTGTTAGACATCTGACACAGATATCTATGCAAATCGCAAACAAAAGTAGTGCATGCACTTTAGAAATCGATATGACCGCTCTAATAGCAGACAATAGGGTGCGACTTGGCATACGATTTGCAAGCCACATGGCATGCAAATCGCATGCCAAGTCACACCCGATGTGACCAGGGTGTAAGTGTTATAGCATTATATTTGGAAGACAGATGGTGTTGAAGGCCCCCAATCTGGTTTAGGGATGTTGTTCTAGTTTGACATTGATGGTCTTTTTCATGGATCTTACGAAACACTTGCCATGAAGAAGTGAATTGAAGAAGTGACGCCTCTAACAGTCCAAATACCTAAAAGACTTAAACTGAAGACTTGCATAAGCTACAAAACATTTTCAGCAACATACAAGAAGTCCATTTGAATGTTATTAACTATTATTAGTTACAATTATTATAGTGTACTTCTACAGAATTGTGGTTATAGACTGGTAGACATAAGGCTGCCTAATAGATGTCAGTATGATCAGTGGTTGGCTATGTAGACATCCAGTTTAGTAAGAGATCTTCTCTCATCTGCAGGTGAACTCGGGAAGCCCAGGCTTGGCTCTTGTCGTAGAGCTGTTGCTGACCTACCAGCTTGTACTCTGTATCTTCGCATCCACAGACAGCAGAAGGAATGACAATGTTGGATCACCAGCTTTGTCCATCGGACTTTCAGTGACCCTGGGCCACCTTTTAGGGGTAAGAGATTATTTTAATACTTGCACTTGCATTTCTTTTTGTGATTAAACATTAGATATGTTTAAGAATGGGTGTCTCGAGGGTATACATTTCCTAATCAGTATATATTTTATAATACATTAAAGTGTATAAAACCAACCCTTTTATATATCTGGGATAGAGTAAGAACCCTGACAGTTTCTGTCCTAGAGAAATGACAGAAAGGCTGTGCCCTGTGACTACTCAAATATTTTAGATTAACCATCATTTTCTATACTGAAGTCAATTGCCACCAGGACAGTCAAAGATGATAGACCTTCTCAGGGGAGCACAAAAAAAACAATATGAACCTGACAAACGTTAAACCACTTTTTTCACTCTATCCAGTTCTAAAAAAAGTTTGGTCTTTACATACATTTAATTAGGATAGATGAAATCCAACATAAACTCCTTTTTTTTCCACACTGTATCTTTTCTATACCCTCAACAGCTAAATGGTCCTATATATAGAGAGGAAAATGCTTTAGCCATCAAGGGCCTTATGTATTAACATACTTACCAACAACTGGAGTTATATCACCAATCAAGTTCATACTTTCAGGACAGGTCTTCTGTTGATTGGTGGCTGAGAAGTAACTCCAGTTGTTACAAACAGCACTAAGGGTTTCTGTCACAATGCAAAATGACTGGAGGAGAAGCCTTAGATTAAAGTTGTCATCCTCTGAATATAACCCTCTTAAGTTCCATAATGTCTGTTCCTTGAAACCAGTCCAGCAGTAAAAGAATAGCAACTGCCAGTTCACATAATGTAGGCATTTTGCTTCTTCACAGGTTTCCTTTTAATGATGGAAAAAAATATACACATTTTAGTGTGTATTTTTTTTTCAAACATATACCAGATGAACTCTCTGTTGGTATCCATGATATTGTAGAATACAATTGTTTATTCCTTCCTACAGATCTATTTCACAGGATGTTCAATGAACCCAGCTCGTTCCCTGGGACCTGCAGCCATTACTGGAATCTTCAAAGATCAATGGGTGAGACTTATTTTTTTACATAGTTCATAACTTTATATAAACATTTATATGAAGTTTACTCTCCTGGGAGTGAGAAGATGACCTATTCATCTTCTGATCGCTTCATGCTCGACATTATTGTTCTCTGGTTAGAGTCTGCAGTAATAGTTAAGGAGTTATAAAAATGTAAAATAATAAAATGTAATAAATAAGAAACAAAAAAATATAGTTGAACTATTGGGAGATACAAAATATACAATAATGTTTAGTCCTGCTATGTATTCATTAACTAGGCTTTTTAAATACAGCTAGATTTATCACCTGATTCTTCCTTAAAGTGGAAGTCCAGATTAGATCCATCTAAACTTAAAACTGCTCCCACTCCCCTCCTAATGCCTATTCTAACTGCCCTGTACAAGGAAGATGCATCTTATACTTGCCTATTCTCCAGGTGCTCTGGTACGGTCATGTGATTTCACCAGCAGGGGAGAAGAGAGTGCACTGACAACGGATGGAGTGCCTGGGCGGTGATATCACACATAGGCTTACTATAGGGCATCTGTTGTCAGCTGCCCCTCCCAAAGTCAGCCTCTGAGAGCAGTTTAGGTGACTGGACTGGAGTGCTCTGAGAATAGGTAAGTATAAGCATCTTTCTTCTACAGGGTAGTTAAATTGGCAGTTAGGAGGGAGGAGGGAGCTGCGTAAGCTTAGTTAGATCTAGCCTGGACTTCAACTTTAATATTAGTCCCTCATAATACCCTGCAGAGCAACAATCATACTGAGGGAGGGAGGGACACACTGATCAAGATGAGGTGCGGGTTTACTCCTACCAAAGGTTCTAGGCAAATCCTTTAGATTCGAGTTACATGAACCTGGCAAATTTACACTATATTGCCAAAAGTATTGGGACACCTGCCTTTACACGCACATGAACTTTAATTGCATCCCAGTCTTAGTCTATAGGGTTCAATATTGAGTTGGCCCACCCTTTGCAGCTATAACAGCTTCAACTCTTCTGGGAAGGCTGGGAAGGCTGTTCTCAAGGGTTAGGAGTTTTGTCTATGTGAATGTTTGACCATTCTTACAAAAGCGCATTTGTGAGGTCAGGCACTTATGTCAGACGAGAAGGCCTGGCTCGCAGTCTCCACTCTAATTCATCCCAAAGGTGTTCTATTAGGTTGAGGTCAGGACTCTGTGTAGGCCAGTCAAGTTCCTCCACCCCAAATTAACTCATCCATATCTTAATGGACCTTGCTTTGTGCACTGGTGCGCAGTCATGTTGGAACAGGAAGAGGCCATCCCCAAACTCTTCCAACAAAGTTAGGAGCATGAAACTGTCCAAAATGTCTTGATATGCTGACGTCTTAAGAGTTCCCTTCACTGGAACTAAAGGGGCAAAGCTCAACCCCTGAAAAACAACCCCACACCATAATCCCCCCTCTACCAAACTTTACACTTAGCACAATACCGTTCTCCTGGCAACCGCCATACCCAGACATATCCATCAGATTGCCAGACAGAGAAGCATGATTCATCACTCCAGAGAGCATATCTCCACTGCTCTGATGTCCATTAATTCTTAATTTTTTTTGCTTTTGGAAATATTGAGGATATGCACTACATTATTTAGGGGGCTCAAAGTACATCTAATGACATCTATCTTGGATAGAGAAAGAATTGGATAAAACCTCTGTTGGACCATCTGTGTTAACTACTCTTGTCTTTTTACCAGAACAGGACGTGAGAAAAAAAAATCCCCAAAGTAAGGGAATTCCTTCTTAGATAGTTGTCTATGAACACGATTCCCCCTCTATGCCTATTCTGGTGAAAACAAATAATTGCATTTTTGGATTATTCCTCACTGTCAGCCCTGGTGATAGCAGTCAGCAGGAAAGAAAGAGGGAACACATCTCCTCAACAAGGTCCCTGACATCAATAAAAACCTGACAGCAGTTCTAACCCTTCGCCACTCCATCCAAAGCAAAAAAAACATTTTAGATACACTTTAAGGGAATTTTAAAAATGAAAACACTGACATATCCATCTGGAGTGACAAATGAGAGCCTGTCCAGTAGAAAGATTGTTATAATATGTTAATGACATCCTGGGTTGTGTGGTACAAGGTTTATTTGGTGGGGCCATTTCGACTTCTGGTGATATCATGCATAGAAAGTTTACATAGTTACATAGATTGTCAGGGTGAAAACAAGTCCATCAAGTTCAACCAATAGAAATAACGAATAAATGCATTACTTGAAAACCTAAATATAATGAACTCTATTCCCACAGTTGATTCAGAGGAAGGCAAAAAAGCCCTCATAAAGCATGGTGAAATTTGCTCCAACAGGAAAAATAAATTCCTCCTGATTCCTTACGGCAATTGGATATTTCCTGGATCAACAATTATACATGGTGATCATATCTCCCTCCCTTTATTGTTCAGTTCAGCTAATCTTTCTTTATAACTGAGCTCCTCCAAGCCTCTTATGAGTTTAGCTGACCTCCTCTGCACTATCCAGTCCCCAATATAATTTTTGTGAATTTTGTGCCCAGTATAAAGCAAGAGGACAGGGAAATGTCTGAAAGAAAAGGAAAGGGAAATGTACTTGTACATTGTACAACCTGATTCTCCCTCCTATGTGTGTATCTAATGTATGAAACAAACCAGTACTGAGAGAAATGGAGAGGATGTCATTATGGGTCTATTGGTAAAATTGCTAGTTACCTTGGTGTCTCTGGGATTAGTATACTCTGGTTCACTTATCTATAATGAGCATGGAATTAATTAAGAACTCCTGATCTGCATAATTTTTATGGGTCAGAACCTAAGAAAGTATTGAAGCCACTTGAGCACCTTGATAGCCGGGCTACTGGTATTTTAGGATGGAGAAATCAGCTATGTCAGCCTACATATTCTCACTGTATAGGTTTCATTTAAATTTCTGTTATGATTTAAAATCTTGCTTTAAGCACTTACATACAGTAAAAAAAGGCCATTGAGTTTTCAAATGCTTACCACGGTTAAAGCTGTGAAACACTCCATTTCCTCAAAAACCACATTCCATAATGCTCAATTCTTCTAAGCCACATATGCTAGGAAGCTGGGATAAGCACACTTCTTGTGGTGCCTAAAAGATAGGACAACTGTCTGCAGTTGAGGTTCTGTGGAATCCTTGGGTTCCTCGAGAGGTTGCTAAGGGTTCCTTCAGCTTAGGGTTGATTGACTTTCCATCTGATAGTGCCTGCATAGCTTCTTGGCTAACTCTACTTGGCAGAACCAGCAGCATGACAGTAATAATTACTTTAGCTATCTGTAAATGAGTTATGCTCCCACTGGTCACCACTGTAAAGATTTTTCCCCCATGATCCTCAATAAACAGGTCTTAGTAGGAGTTTCCTGAAAAATGAAAATTACTTCAAGGGCTCCTCTGGGGTTAAAAAGTCATGGATAGGATGTGAAAGAACATCTCCCCCGTGGGATACAGATGGCAAAAAATGCATGACATTGGTTTTTACCATTCCCTACTCAATTCAATATAAAAGGCTGGGGTTTAGATATACTTTTCATCTCCCACCTGTTTTAAATGCTTCCAAAATAACAGCGCCAGTGTACATTGTTTCATCATCATTAGCTTTATTTTTACAGATGAAAGCATTTGTAATAATAGTATACAAGGAGAACATCTATAATTAAATTATTAATATAGTACAGATTATGACATATAGCACCATCCTGAATAAGACTGTGCCATGGCCCCTGATATAGCAAAGCAGTAAATACAGGTTTAAAGACTGTTACATACAGTATAATGATCATAGTTTATTCATTAAAATATACACTCGCCCTTCTTAGACTAATAATTTTCTTTATGACTTGAACTTAATTTATAAGTAGGACTGTCATTATAATGATTATTACCTACAGCAAAGCTTTGTTAATTTAACAACGGTTTGCTTTTACTATATGTTATTAAAACAAAATACCAGAGGGGTAAGAATTATTCAGAAATAGAAATGCAAAGGTATAGTGAAGATATTCCAGAATTATCATTGGTAGTTAAAAATCAGTCTGCCAAAAACTGATATTTCAAATTTAACAGATGCTAAAGATTTAAATGATCATTTATATATGTAGGGGAATGCTTGTCCCCGCACTGCCAAAAAGCATACTTACATTGCTATTTGTTTGTAAAAAATGTTCTTAGTTACATTGTGGCTGCAATACACCTTTCATGGTCTTCATGCACAATGCCTGTGTTGTGAGACTGTTAAAGAGAAACTATCACCAAAGAAAGACATTCCAGGTAAAACACAGAAAAATCAACTACTTAAAGTGCAGTTTTTCATTTCATAAATAACATTTATTCATTTGAAATGTGCCCCTAACTTGCTAGAAAAATTTAGTACTCCAGGAAAGTTCTCTAGCACAGTCTACTCCTTCTTTATATGCCCTCTTGTCTTCTGATAGTGCTGGTCTAGCATGCTCTTTCTGTGCTAGCTCAGCTCCTCTGCCTCTTCCCTCAGTGAAGTTAAGGGGAACACTATAGAGCAGCCATTCTGAACCAAGGTTCAATGGATTCCAGTTTCCAATGGAATCAGCCAGGTATGACACATACATGGTTCAAGCTCGACCAATATAACTATACAAAAATTGCCATAACTGGCTTTGAATGGTCACATGACACTTACTATGGCATTTGACAGGAAAATGTATGTTTATAGATAGAGTAACATTTTTAGAGCTAATAATAATGATGTTCCATATTTCTACAGGTGTTTTGGATTGGACCCCTTGTTGGTGGTGTTTTGGCCTCTCTCACATATAACTACGTCTTATACCCACACAGCAAGAGTTTGTCTGACCGCATTGCTGTCTTGAAAGGAACATATGAGCCTGAGGAGGAAATATGGGACAACAAGCCTGAACACAAGAGACAGTCAGTGGAGCTGTACTCTGCTCACCCTCTTCCCAAGGGTACAGAGAAATTCTAAACTTCTAGGACTTAAAACCAACCAACTCCATTATTTATGCCTGCAAAACCTGAAGCTTTCAGCAAAAGAAGTCCATAAAATAATTTGGTATTATCAGTTCTCTGCAAAATTAAATACACTGTAAATATACTTATGTTTCATAGTTCTTGAAAGCATTGTTGTTATATAATACCATTGTCCTATACTTTATTCCCCAAGGCTCAGAGGCTTGTAAACCAAACATAATGCATCAGGTTCCATTGTTTGTGATGCATCTGCGGACGGTCAATGCCATTGGATGCTGGCTACACAATTGTCAATCCAGAAAACAATTCAGCTTGCCAAAATCATCTTTTGTTCTGGCTCCAGTGATAGCCTTCTATTAATTCTAAACACAAAACCTCAGGGTTTTAGACTCTACATTGTATTTGTTTGTATATATCATGTCAGTCTGACGACTAAAGCAAGTTCTATTTTTTTTATATATATTTGCAATACAAAAAGCATGGTTGTGTTTGTCATTAGGCATGTGTGGGCCTATGTCTAGCGCAGCAAACAATTTATATATTTTCTTTTTTTGCTTTATCTGCCCACGTCTGGACAGTTGTAAGTAAATCCAGCCTGAGAACTGATAGGAAGAACAGTGCAGTGGTTTCTGAGTCACTATACTGTTACTAGCTTTAGATCCAAACAGCCATCTACTAGACCAGGGGTGGGCAAACTTTTTGACTTGAGGGCCGCAATGGGTTCATATATTGGACCCGGGGGCCGGACCAAGAGTAGATGAATGATGTGTATGTGTCATCCATAGTAAGTATAGTAATATTCCCCCATAGTAAGCATAGTAATTAATCCCCCATATAGTAATTCATCCCCCATATAGTAATTCATCCCCCATAGTAATTCATCCCCCATAGTAATTCATCCCCCATAGTAATTCATCCCCCATATAGTAATTCATCCCCCATATAGTAATTCATCCCCCATAGTAATTAATCCCCCCATAGTAATTCATCCCCCATATAGTAATTCATCCCCCATAGTAATTAATCCCCCATAGTAATTAGTAATTAATTCATCCCCCATATAGTAATTCATCCCCCATATAGTAATTCATCCCCCATAGTAATTCATTCCCCATATTAATTCATCCCCCATATTAAGTCCCCAAGTCCCCCTGTGTCAAATCACTTACCTTTGCTTCGCGCGTTCCTCTCGCCGTGTTCCCGCGCCGTTCCGGTGTAGCATGAAAATCTGTCTCCTATGAGGATCTGTCCCCCTCAACGTATCTGCGCATGTGCCAGTTTCAGGCATTAGCAGCCGATCGGCGATCTCCGGCACATGCGCAGATACGTCGAGGGGGACAGATCCTCATAGGAGACAGATTTTCATGCTACACCGGTCTTCAGGGCGGACTGTGAGAGGAGCCCAGCGGGAGCCTAGCTCCGCGGGCCGGATTAAAAGGTCCGTAGTTTGCCCATTGCTGTACTAGACTCTTAGTAGCTTAAGATCCAAGCAGCCATCTATTAGACATGTAGCAGCTTATGATCCAAGCATCTATCTATTAGACTTGTAGTAGCTTACGATCCAAGCAGCCCTCTACTAGACATGTAATAGCTTAAGGTCCAAGCAGACATCTTCTATACTTGTAGTAGCACAATATCCAAGCAGCCATCTACTAGACTTGTAGTACCTTAAGATCCAGGCAGCCGTCTACTAGACTCGTAGTTGCTTAAGATCCAAGCAGACATCTACTAGACTTGTAGTAGATTAAGAATCAAGCAGCCCTCTACTAGACTCATAATAGCTTAAGAGCTAAGCAGACATCTTCTAGACTTGTAGTAGCACAAGATCCAAGCAGCCATCTACTAGACTTGTAGTACCTTAAGATCCAGGCAGCCGTCTACTAGACTTGTAGTTGCTTAAGAACCATGCAGCCATCTACTAGGCTCGTAGTAGATTAAGAATCAAGCAGCCGTCTACTAGACTTGTAGTTGCTTAAGAACCATGCAGCCATCTACTAGGCTTATAGTAGACTAAGAATCAAGCAGCCATCTACTAGACTTGTAGCCACTCAAGATCCAAGCAGCCATCAACTAGACTCTTAATAGCTTAAGATTCAAACACCCATCTACTAGACTCATAGTAGCCTAGGATCCAAGCAGCCATCTACTCTTGCTCTGTAGGATCTGAATTGTTGAACTGTATAGTGCAGTGGTAGCTCTGCATGTAAGGCAGAACTCATCCAGTACAGCCTTCTGAAGTTAGTTTTTATTACAGCAATCAGATATTATCATTGAAATGCAAAAAGTCAAGACATAAATGTAAAGGGTACCATAAGTCACACATACCCAGAGTGATATGATCTGTATATACAGCCAATGGGTTTTTTTTCCTAAGGAAAGCATGAAGTGAGGTGCAAATGCAGTACCATATACAAAACAATCAGGAATAATCTTTTCTCAGTTTGACTCAAAGCCAAATTAAATGTTTAGCTTAAAACAGCAAATTAGCTTCCAGGTGCATCAAAGATAAAAGTGTTCAATGTTTTACTGTTTGTTTTCTTTTTAAAGCAGAAAAAGTACTGTAGAAATGCTTGTCCTCTGCCAGCAGCTGCAGAGTGGGACTCTTTTTCGTTGTGAGGAAGCAGTGGTCTCTCTGCAGAGGTCTGGCACATCCTCTACTGATTCAGACCTATTCACAATCAGGAAAGCTCAGACTCTCAGCTGATTGGAGAAATTTGGTTCTCAGGGGGCGTGTCAGACCACTGCAAAGTGATCACTGCTTCCTGGCAGAGAGCAAGGGCCTGATTCCAAAGCATACTGGCAGGGGACAGATTTATCTGCTCAGACTGTGGCTGATTTTTAAAGAAAACAAAATGTAAGACTCCACACACTTGTTCTGATGCATCCTGAAAGTATTTAGCTAATTCAAACTAAAGGTTCAGTTGGGCTTCAAGAGTCCTAAGTGATTGGTAGGTAAGAGATATTGCACTGTTGGGCTTAATTCACTTTAAAGTCCTAGAGATGATTTCTAAATCTTTTTGGACAAGCGGACATCTTGCTTTTCCTATATTTACATTGTATATTTCTCTGTATATGCTTGCCATCAAAGGTCTAACTAAAAAGCCATACCTATCTTTTATAGATCCATTAGTTTAATGAGGTTGTCTTCAATATATGTATACCTAATGTAATTAAATGTAATATGTGTATATTTATGATGGAATGTTTGAAAGTGCAATGTCAGCTGCTTTATGATTTACAAATACTGTCTGATTGAATGATGTTGTGAGTAAATTTGTACTGTTCCTAAGAGAGAGAATAAAACTCTCTACAAAGAAGTCTAGTTATTATTTACTATACACGGTCAGCAGATAATCTAATTAGGAACTTAAACTGCAGTTATATGACTATTATTACATTTATTAATATTTTATTGCAAATAGTAGCACAGTGGCTTAGTGGATGGCATTTCTGCTATGGATGGCATTTCTGCTTTGCAGAACTGGGGTCCTCAGTTTGAATCCCAACAAGAACACAACCTGCATGGGGTTTGCATGTTCATCCTGTGCTTGTGTAGCTTTCCTCTCACAGTCCAAAGATGGTAGTTTAATTGGCTGCTGTATAAATCAGCCCTAGTATTCATATGATTGTAAACTACTTGAGGGCAGGAATAAAGATATTGATGTGAATGTACAATATGTAAAATGCTGGGTAATTTGCCAGCACTAAGTGCCTACAATAAATTTGTTTATAAGTAATAACTGTTTGGGAGAAGACTCTCGAAATGGTAATTGGCCCTCACAGGAAAAGAAGTCAAATCTCCAGAACAGGGACATAAACATAAAAAAAAACTGGTAGAGGCTCTAACCATTCCTTATGCTATCCAAAACTAAATAAGTTTTGGCTTTGGATATACTTTAAAGAAAACAAATGTTAAAACAAACCCATTTTCAGGACTTGCTGTACCCAAAAGCTCTAGTGCCTATACTCACTTTCCTCACACCCGTCCCCTGATCCCATCATTACTAGCAGTGTCCTGCAGAAAATGAAGATTCTTCCAGGTAGGGATTTGTATGCTCCCATGCTAACAATGCAGCGCTAAGAGCTTGAGCACCATAGCAGAAGCCCCAAGTGGAGCGCATATATCCGAGTGATAGAACTGACTTTTGGGGAAGGTTGTCTTTGCACAGATCTTTAGAATGACATAAGAGGAGACTGGAGCAGTGGTCTGGAGCAGGGGCAGTAAATATGGGCACTGGAGAGTGCCTACTGTACTTGGACACTGAGGCATACTTTAGTACAGATTCACTGGAAGGCCTCATGCATACTGCTGCTCCTAAACATGAGTTTAGAAGCTTTTGGCATTTTTTTGCCAAAGCCCCCAAACTCAACTCAGTAAAAGTCTATGTGTCCATGTACACTTAGGCTTTTACCAGAGTTTAGAAGCAGCAGAGTTTAGGGGCAGTTAAACGTTCTTCTCCTGAATGCAGAAGAATCGCCTTTAGAAGTGGAACATTTTGGCCAAAAAAACACTAAACATGGCAGAAACGCATGTAAACGCGTCTAAACACTAGCCATGTTTAGTGCTTGGGCATTTATTCATGTCAATGTAAAAAAACTCTGACCAAATAAATGAATAAACATCCAAGTGCTAAACGCGGCTAAACACGTTTTTGCCACATTTAGCGTTTTTCTGATGCCAGAACTAAATGTCTAGGGGAGTTCATGTGTACATGAGGCCTTAGCAGGGGCGGACTGACAACTCATGGGGCCCCCAGGCAATAGGGGATCATGGGGCCCCTGTGTCCTTGCCCAAACTCAAAAAAGCCTATGAAAAAGGTACCAGGGGCATCTCATGGGGCCCCCTACTGACCCCGAGCCCTCGGGCAGTGCCCGAATTTCCAAATGGTCAGTCCGCCCCTGGGCCTTAGCCTAAGTATAGACTTGCATTTGCATCTCTTTCCAGAGCTGTTTGTCAAGTGATAAGGAGGTGATGTGATGCCTCCTCAACGTTGG